ATTCCCCTCCCTATAAATTGTAAGCCGCCCTGAGTCCCCTCAGGGAAAAGGGCGGCCTATAAATAAATTTAAAAAAAAAAAGAGAATCCCTAAGGCCACCCCTGCGCTCGAATTTCCTCTTTTCTGCTGGACAGGTGAGGGAAGGTTAAGTTGCCCTTTGTTCTTGCAGTGGCCGTTGGGATAGTGGAGAGCGGTTTGGTTTCATCGCTGGTGCAGAAGCTGAAGACCGAGAAGGAGGACATCCAAGAGCTCATCCTGGACACCCTCACAGGCTGCCTGCGAGTTGAAGCCTTCGAGGCCTTGGCTACAGGATCTGTTGCTATCTTGAAGGAGAAGCTGCGGGATCCCTCACGGGCCATCAGGTGCAAGGCTGCCCAGGTCCTCATGGCCATCAGGTGAGGCATACCAATATATGGCACACCTCAGAGGTGCAGAGGGCAGAGGAGCTCCAGGGTAGCTCCGTGTCTGCCAAGAGTGGTTTCCCTCTGGCCTAGTTGACTGGTCAGAAGGGCAAGGCAAGCAGACCAGCCTCAGCTGACCCAAAGGGATGGTTTTCCCACTTCAGCGTCCCATTGGAGGGGAAGAACATGGTCTTCAAAGAAAACGTCTTTCCGGACCTGGTCACCCTGCTGGAAGATGAGGATGCGGAGGTGCGAGCCAACGCTGCCGGGGCCATCATGAATTCGGCAGTGACCACCCAAGGTGAGTGTGGCCATGGGGCTCAGCCCGTTCTCTGTGGGAGAGAAGGGGGGGCTCCCAGGGACATAGCCGGGCAAGCCCCCGGGCTGCACTTAAGGTGTTTCCTTCTCATCATTTTTAGTAGAGATTTTATTTACAATAGCAAAAACAAGTATAACTTAAACTCAGGAAAAAATAAATAAATAAAAAGTCCAAGGAAACATAAAAACAGATAGAGGAGTGATTTCTAATTTATCACAATTAAAAACAATTAAATGTAGTATAATTATAATTATAATTGAAAATATAAAAACTAATATAAACCAAAGAAAGAGAAAAAGGTGGAGGAAAGGAAAAAAGAAAAATAGAAAAAAAAGAATTTAGAAAAGAAAAAAAAGTTTATAAAAGTTAATTAAGTATGAACAATTTTAGTAATTTTTCACCTCCTCTTAAATTATAACAAATGCTCTCTTCTTCCCATATCCCATCTCTTTACATAAATCTATAAAGCATCATCATTTCAGTCCTGATGTCAATTCCATTATGTGTTACCAAAAATGACATATCTATTTTATTCTTGATCAAATAAACCAACTTTATATTCACTCTCCTCATGAGGAGCAACTGCCAGAGCACATGTGGGCCATCTCCTCTCCTTATCCAGATGGGTTCCAAAGAACTGATCTATTGCCAGTTCTTTGGTCTTTCCTCCACTCATTGTCTCTATTTGAGACATGTCTACTTCGCTATGCCTCCAGCAGAAGTCTCTGGGCTGCGCTTATTATCCTGGGAAGAGGGAAAGGCTCAAGTATGTTTAGAGAAGCAGGACTGGGATTTCCTCTTTCCCCTTAATTTCAGGATAATTTTTCACCTAAATAAAACCTATTCAGCAGTTTTTACTAAAACCCTGGGTTGTGCCAAGGGGGCCAGGAGGCCCACTCAGACCTTCTGGCTGCAGCTGCTTCCATCTCACCTCTTGGTTTACCACTCACTGCTGGCCTCATCTGTTCATTCCCTGCTATGTTTTTCTCCGTTTCAGGGAAATATGCTGCTATTAATGCAGAAGCCATCGAGTATCTTCTGCCTTTGATCCACGATGACAAGAGCAAAGTCCGCCTCTATGCTATCAAGGCCCTGACCATGTTGTCAGAAGCCCCAGAAGGCCGCACGACTCTGCTGAAGCACGTGCCGGAATTCCGGAAGCAGCTGAAGGATTCCAGTGAGACCGTGCAGAGAGCAGCCCAGATCGCCATACAGGTCATTGAATGGAAACCTTAGGAAGCCCTCTTGGCAACTGACAATAGCCCTGGGACTGTAGGGAGCCATTTTGTGTGAGGGATAGCTGGCTGAAAGAGAACAGGCAGCTCCCTGGTGAAGGGTCTAGTCTCATTCAGGGGGAAGGAAGAGGGGAGCAGAATGAGAACAGCCTTTAAAGCCCTGAATGGTACAGGGCCAGGTGACCTGATCAACCATCTCCTCCCACTGGGTCACATCCCTCCTACTCAGATTGGCAGAGAGGACCCACTTCAGATCCTGTCAGAACTCCAACTGAAAGGTGGGATTCAAAAGAAGAGCCTTCCCTCTGGAACCTCCTGCCTTTCCCCACCCTCCCTCCTGGCTCTGCTGGTTGACTTGGGGTCCAAAGGGGAGGGGGCTGCTGGATTGATGGCAGAATCCACCTCCCCCCTTGCTCTCTGCCCTCCCCCCCCCGTCCATCTTTTTCATTAGCATATTGATGTGTTCCCATTGTGTTCTTTTTCTTTATTTTATTGTTCTCTTTACTTCTGATCTGTTTACACTCTTTTCATTTCTTCCTTTTTATTGTTGTAAGCCACCTAAGGTAGCCCCTCAGTGAGATAGCTGGCAAATAAATGTATTTAACTAAATTTATTTATTAATTTATTTATTAAATAAATAAATACATTGGGGAATGCAGAGATATCACCAACAGGCCAATCCTGCTGATGTGACAGGATCCTGGCCTTGTGTCTTCAGGAGAAATGACTATTGTCCTCTACAACAATTGCAAGAATGATATATGCTTCAAGTCCATATTGATGGGCTCTCTTCTCCTGGAAGAGACGGCCTAAAGGCAAGATGCAAATCTGCCCTGCTCCAAATTCACCAAGACAGCTAAAGAATGCTTGGAAAAGAGACAGGAAGCCTGTCAAGAAGAAGTCTTGTTCTCTGGACCTTCACGACAGATCCCATATCAGAGGGTACTGCCCCCTCTGTTCTGATGGGGTGGATGGAAGAACAGGTGGTAGAGATTGGAGATATCTATCAAGAGGGACGGAGGCAGGAGTCTGTTGGTCCAATAGCATGTAAGGAGGGACGGGCTGACCTAAGGAAAATGTGTGGGAAGCATGGGATGGGATGACAGATGATAAGACAACCATCTGTCCTAATTGATCCATGAAGGAATAAATGATGATGATTTAAGGATGCTATAAAGGATTATGAAACACTGGCAGGGGCATAAAAGAGCTGGGACAGAGGTGGGATTTTCTTCACTCTGACCAATATAATTGTTGAAATAATTTGCTTCAACAAATAAGAGAGATGGCCCAGGAAGAAAGAGAATACTGGAAAGGAGGAGCAGGCTGTGCAGATGTTCCTGGTGGGAAGGGGTCGGGTTCTTCATTAAAGTGAAGCATTTCTGAGAAGAGGCCCTGGCAAGAGACGAGCTGCGTGGCATTTGTGTCATTTGTTTCTAAGTGAGATTCTACCGCAATCTATCTTGGCGCCAGTGTTATTCAACACTTTTATTAATGACCTGTACAAAAGGATTGATGGGCTGCTAATCAAATCTGCAGGTGACACGGAATTGGGAGATCTACCCAACACTCACGATGACAGAATGAAATTGCAGTTCATTTTGTACAGGCTGGAAGACTAGACTGAAAAGTGCCAGAGGGAGAAGTGCAGGGGAGAAAAAGGTAGGACACAGACCAGATTTATACCCTGGAAACACCTGAGGAGGACGTAGCCTAGCTGGCATTATGATACACCTACTAGGAAGACTCAGGTGATCTGGCTTGAATCAGAAGAAGCTGCTTCAAAGGGGAGGATTTCCTTCTGTTCTGTGCTGGTGAGACACTGCTGGAGTGATTGATTATAAACACAACCACAATTCCACTTAGCAACCGCTTTACTTAATGTCTGAGTTGCCCGTCCCAGTTATGGTCACAAACTAAGGGCTATCAGTATTTGCCATCAATTCAGCATCAACTTTTAATGATCACATATATGGACCTTCTTCAAGATAACCTATCCCCAACCTAGGCCTTGAGATCTACAAAGGTGCATGTATTGCTCCCACAATCCATCTGCCTCACTGCTGATCGTCTTCTTCTTCTTCATCTGTCCTCAGGGTTGTAGACTTCAAGAAGGCTTCATCTCACATAACATGCCTTCATTGCTACTTTACCTGAGCTACTGTGTGGCACTCTGTTTGGCTGCTGATTGCTTTTATGCTAATGGTCGATCCCAAAGGACAGAGGCTATCCACTATTTCAGTGTCTCATCCATTGTGAGGCTTGTTTACAGTATGTTTAATTTTAATTCCATTTTTCTTTTTCAATACATATTCAGGATATAACAGATGGAGTACTGTGTATAATTCTGGGCAGCACATTTCCAGAAAGATATGGGCAGATACCCAGAAAGGTATTACAAAGTTGACACAAGAATTTGAGGATGTGCCACAGGAGGACAGGCTGGAGAATCCAGGGGTGTTCAGACTGGAAAAAAAGCAATCAGAGGGATAGTTGGATAAAATGGTGCTCCAGGGAAGATGGCCAGGGCTCAGTTTTCCCTGTCCCAGAAGGTAAGGGAAGTAAGAATGGCCATAAGGTACAGTTACCTGGATTCAATTAAAATGTAAGTTAAAAGACTTCCCATAATAACATCCTCTGAAGGAGAGGCTCAGCACCTTCAGCTACTCAACACCAACCCCCCTCAGCAAACAAGCACACCCACAAACATACAAAAACACCTTCTGTCTAAGTCCCAAAGGGGCTTCCCTCAGCTGCTCTGACTCATCCAGCTAACCCACTTCTTGGTGTCTCGACCTAAACACGCAACCAAAGCCCTTGGCTGAACTTTATTGTTCAAATCTACAATTCTGCTGGTAGACTCTTTGGGCCTGGACTCTGAACAGTCCCTTCATCATTTCTCAAAAGAAGAATGTAGTCTGGTTCTTTCCTTGAAAGTGTATCACAAGGAAGTGGCGGTGAAGTTATTTTCAGAGTTCCCAAAGGTAGACGAGAAGCTTCATAGAGGAAGAAAACAAGGAGAAATCTCCTGGTGTGAGAGCTGTTGAGCAGTAGAACAGTCTTGAATTATGAGTGCTCCATTCCTTCAAGTTGTCAAGCGAAGGTTGGATGCCGTCTGTCTGGGATGGCACAACAATTCCTACTCTGGGCAGGGTGTTGGACTAGAAGGCCTCCATAGACACTTTCAACCCCGGGATTTTATTATTCCCTGACTGTATTGCTTCCCTGTTCCTCTGACGAGCAAAGAAGGATAATGTTCCCTGCTTGCTGTCCCTTCCCCATAAGATGGGGCGAGAGACACAATGGGCTTGAGTAACCATGAAGTAGCTTTCTGCTTGATATCAGGAAACATTTCACAACATTAAGAGCTGTTCAGTGATGGAACAGGGAGCCTCAGGCGACACGGAACTCTTCCTTTGTGGAGATGTTTAAACAAAGCTGGGACAGCCATCTGTCAGGGAGGCTGCCGTATCGACTAAAATGGTATTTAATGGATTCTTACCCCAGGCAGGAATTGGACTAATGTTCTCCAAGAGCAAATATGCCATCGACTGGAGCCAACAACGCAGAGGACAAGTGGGGAAGCAAAAGAGTGGAGGGACAAAAGAGGGGAGGGGGTTTGGAGACTGGCAGGGAAGTACATCAAAGGCAGGAGGGAGCACCAGGCATCACCTCAGAGGTTTCCACTCCAGGGCACGATGGGAAACAAACAAATGCTGGCAAAGGAGGCTCTGAATTCACTCAGGCATCCCTGACTCATGGGATGACACCGAAATATGGGTGACACGTCTGACCGAGACATCCCCTCCAAGGCTGCCACTTATTCCAAACTTAACAGAGGGGAAGGAGATGCTTGCTTGGCGAGACAGAAATAAAGAACTTGAAAGTGAAAATGGATGCATGGTGAAGAGGAGAGGATGGAGGAAGCAGAGCAACTGAAAACACATTTTATGTCTGCTCTTTCCTACAAGATAAACACAACCGTTGTTGACTGTCAGTCTGCCGTTAATGGAAGGAAGGGAACTGTGGTTCGAGATAGACAAGGTGGGATGCAAAGGACACAGCTCATTTAAATAAAGTCAGGGCTCCATGACCAGAAAAACTGCATCCCAGGTTACTGAGGGAACCAGCAAAGATGCCCACAGAACCACGCGCTCCAACCTTGAAGACCTCCTGGGAAAGACAGACTGGAGAAGGAAAAAGATCGGGGCTACATTTTTAAAAAGGGAAGCAAGAGAATCCAGGAAATGGCACATTTCACAGCTTGCAGTATATTCTGCGCAAGATCCTGGAGTAGCTGATGAAACGGCCTGCTTGTGAACATGTAGAAAACAAGAGCACCAGAGAAAACAACAGCTAATAAAAGAGCCAGTGTGAGTCTGCCACAAACAAGTCATGACAGATGCCTTTCCTTCCTTCACAGAGTGACTAGCTTGGGACGCTGGGGAAATGCCATGGGGAACTCAGCCAATGCTTCAGAACATTTTTAGTTATATCCTCTTTTAATAAAGTGGTAAAATGTGGTCTACCTACCAACTCAGAATTAGTCAAGCAAGGTGACATCCCATGGTGGTAAAAGTTGGACATTAACAAAACAAGATGCCAACAATATTTTGAACTTTAGGTTTGGAGAATTTCCAAGAGATCACAGAAGCATTGAACAAATCAATGTAGAGTTCTCACTTGAAGCACAGGTGAGACCTGGCTCAAATGATCCTATTTCAGACATGTTGTGCAATGACACAGATACCTTGAGAAGTCCATAATACTGAGAGGTGGAAAGAAAGAGAAAAGGAAGACCAGCAGCAAAGAAGATGAAGTCAATTACAAGGCACGTGTTGGGAGACCAGAAGGGCAGCATTAGGTCCAGACCATTCTGGAAAAGGTCCATCTATGTGGCATGAAGAGTCAACAGCAAGTTGATGGCAATTGGTAATCAATCAAAATAAAGACTAGATGGTACATTTGTAGGTGTATTCA